GGAAAACAAAGATTCCGCGGCCAAAGGCTGTTGCGATAGGGGGCTGCCAGGCGTTGTACGCTGAGGGCGGCAGAGAAGAGGCGGTGGTGGCACCGATGGCGGTGGAACATAGACTTGGTTAGTGACGAGGAATGCCAGAGGATGGCTGCTTTCCGACTGCGTCTCTCCACGCCCAGCAGAACGATTGCCGACGTGCTCGGAAGCCTTTGCTTCTTTCTCGATGTTTCTTCTAACCTTGTTTCGTGAAGTTCATTTCCGCAAGGTGGCCGAGCTGCTCGTGGAAAGTGGAGTGAAACTTCTAGGTTCTGGACAATGTTGTGGATGGTACCTCATGGGATGCGAGCACGCGGCAGGATACACATCTAGTACGTGCCTCATGACAGTGCATAAATCCAATCCTTAGCCACTCTCTCTAAAAGCCTACTGGACCACTTATGCCAACCAGAGCTATCCACGACGAAATTTTATAAAGAAACTAACCCTTCCCTGGACAGGACAAAAGGGTAAGGATGTTGTTCGTTTAGAATATTCTGGAGGAATATTATATAGTTGATGGTTTCCGGCTGGCTAAGATCATTACAGGTGGTGATAGTGGCTGGAAGTCCTGCTTATCTCCACTCCATGAACTTGTGTTGGAGGTATAGGTGATTTGTCCTGAAATGTGATGTTCTACCTGTAAGAAATCTACCTGTAGATTTCTTACAGGTAGAACATCACATTTCTTGTTTTTTTTTACTGTTCTTAGTGCACGAGCAGGCACTGAAGAGGAGGTGAGCCACAAGAAGAAACAAAAAAGATCCACTTGAAATTTTATGTTACGTATTTATTTGAAAACAAGAACTATTCGGGTACCCCACAAAGATGGCACGATCTTTGGTGTGGAAATTTGCTTTGGCAACTTTTACTTTTTATTTTCTAGAGCCGTTGTTATGGTTTGATGAAAAAGAATCAACACATTGTTGAATTGTGTTTTCTTGACCGACTGCTAGTTGGCTAATTTGATTCCTTCTAAGATAATTACAGTGTCCCACGAGAAACGTGCTTGTTCCTTTGAAAGTGGAACAAGCAAGCTGAAATACTTTAGAAAGGAAAATTAAATGTTTCATAGTCATCCTTTACGTTTCCGCTTTTTCACTTTTATGACATGGCAAGACATCCATTTTGCCACGTGTTATGTGAACCCTTCTATTCTTTATCTTGCTTTTAGGGCAAGCATACTCTTATCTGAACACTCAATTCTCGTTGCTAGATCGCGGCGCTGGATTAGATCGCGATTCCCAGATGACAATCCGCATAGCACTGGGCGAGGCGATGGAGCACGCCGCTAGATCAGCCTCAGATGAGTTATGGATCACGATTTCGTCCCTTGTGGCCAGCGCAATCGTGATGGGAGACGTGATCTGCAAGTCTCTACTGCAATGGGGCGTCAATCTCATGTCTCTCATCTTCTTCAAGGCTATGGTCTTCCTCAATCCCAAGCTCAGGGCCGGCCAGCAATCCCAGCTCCTCCACGTCCTCTCGCGAGCGATGGAGAATTTCGTCCAGCGGGGGAGCCTGGACGAGCAGCTCATGAGGAGCATCGTGACGCTGGTGGCGCCGGATCGCGGCACTTGCCTCCTCCTCACCTATCTGATCGAGGCATTCACGGCAGGGTTTGTCCCCGGCGGCGAGGGATCCACCAGGGCAGCCAATCCGGACGAGGAGAGGAGAGTGGCGCTGGCGCTGATCAAGCAGTATGGGATCCACAGGGCGGCGGTGGCGGCAATGCCTCCAGAGGCGAGGAGGGCGATCCTCAAATCGCTGGGAGGAGCAAGAACAGGGTCCGCGCGGGATGGAAGTGGGGGGAATTCCTCCTCGCCGATTTGCTGCATCACGCTGGAGCCCCTTTTGTGGCCGGATTCCACAGTGGCCGAGGACGTTCTAGCGGTGATCCAGCGGAGCCAGCACCGCGACGGGGACGAGCACGCCTTTCTCTATCGCGGCTCGGCGCTCTTGGATTGGCTTGGGCGGCAGGAGGTACCAATGAGCCCGGAGACGCGGTCGATCATCAAGCCCAGTGATATCTATCGCCTTTCGTGATGGGCGAGCTCGATTTACTCCCGGGAGGATGGGACTAGGGTTAGGGGTCTGGGAGATCCATCGCCACCGCCAGCGCAGGGCAGGACGACTTTTAGCTCCCTTGTACAGATGATCAAGTTGTGGCGATTCTTCACAACCTTTTAATTGAAATGTATAAAAATGGTGACAGCGTTGTTTGATCGTATCGTGAAACATCATACTTGCAACATATGCCCAAAGATGGCATCTTGGTGGGGTTTGAGAAAAGGAAAACGCTTTAGAATTGAGTGTGTCTAAGTTGCAAATGGTTGTCTACGTTGTAAAGGGTTTCTCTTAGTAGCGGTGGGCATAGTTGACGAAGGTGGTATCAGCGGTTGCCTTGACCGGGCATTTGGATGAGAGATGGAATTTTCGTAGAACATCAAGTGATTATGACCATTAGAACACCATGGCCTGCCGAACGTTCTCGGTGTCAACAGGCATAGACAGACGTTTCGAGCCTTGCCGATGCGAATGCCACCAAGTCGGACGCCAGCATACACGAGAGCGTTCCCGACGACCTCTCGGACAAATCGATCTCGCCTTCATTCTTCCAATCAAACGCATGGAGCAAGCTTGCAACCACAAAAGAAACCACGTCGGTCAGGTTGACGGGAGCATGATCGCCAGATCTTTGAATGGCTTTGATCGATTTCGCCATCTCTAGTTCGTAGATCCCCGTAACACCATCCAGCCTCGTGTTGCTCATCAAGTGCCTGCTCGTGATTTGCTTGAGGTTCTTCCAGGACTCACTACATGGAGCAAGAGCAATGTTTTTGAAGCCATAGCTGAAGCACTCTCCAAACTGCGATAAGCAACCTCCAAATCGTGAGTGAGCAAGACCTCCCTGGCTATGGCGATCGAGTTGATGACAATGTAGTCCACCACTCCACCTCTCAGGTGGATGATCGGGCCATAGATCTTGCCAAGGCTTGCGAAACAGCGATGGAGTGGATATTTTAGAGAGAAAATGAATCCAACTATTGGCAGAGAGATTGGACCTGGTGGTAATCTTCGAAGAGTTCTAGCATTGCAAAGGATAAAGTATAGAGCAAGCATAGCACCGCAAAGCAAAAGCACCATGGTAATCTCTCGGCGAGAGGGGTTCAAATTTAGTTTAAAGAATGTAATAACAAAGGTATAAAATCCAAAGGGGGGTTCTTGACGAGCGCTGAACAGAGAGCGGAGGTGGGGATTGAGACAGGGCCAGTGCTCTGCATTCATGGGGTGTTCACACTCAGTTTGAGGTTTGATGTTAGATTTCTTGATTGTCATCATTTCTGTCCACGGTCCATTTTTTTGGTAGAGATGGGAGGTATGGCTCTAGGCACGTTTATCATGTTAACATAAATTATTTTGATGTGATGTGATACTCATAGATCTTTTGAGATCTTTTGAGATTGTGAGTTGAAAATTGTGTAATTTGGGCTAACATAATAAATTCATGGCTAAAGAGCTTGTGATGTGATGTTCATAGATCTTTTGATCTTTTCCATAGTATTGCTATAACGATCAAAGCGCGGGATGGTGTAGAAAATAATGATCCATTCCAGCAATTCCAGCATAAGGCGATTTTAACTTTCTCGTCCGGTCCATCAAATCGTACGAAGAACTTGGGCGAAGTTAGAACAGAACAGGGACCTGAAAGAAAGCTTCCATTTGTGGAATCTTGTGATTGAAATATATGGAAAGTGCGGCAGCGTGGAGGCTCGAGCGGTGTTCGATCGGATCAGCAACGGAGCTGTTTGATGCGATGCCTCAAAAAAATGTGATCGCATGGAGGGAAAGAAGCTCTTCGATCGCATGCCCCTCAAGGATGTGGCGTCGTGGAATGCCGGGAACGTCAGGGAGTTCCCGACTTCTCGGACAAATCGATCTAACTCTTCCAATCAAACGCATGGAGCAAGTTTTCAACCACAAAAGGAACCACGCGCAAATCGAAAGGCAAACACTCAACGTGAAGTCACAACCTGTCAAGCACTTGGACCTCGTCCACTTAACTTACATCGAAGCAATCTTCAAATAAGTTTTGCGACTCCATCCAGTGGGAGCTCTTGGCGTTCCTCGCCACAATCCATCCAAGGTAACAATCGCAGGCTACGACATCCCCAAGCACTGCACCGTTCTCATCTCATATGGCACTGGGACGAGCCCAAGGTGTTTCGCTCGGAGCGTTTTCTGGGTGATCAAGCAAAATCCAATCATGATGCCATTCCCGGCATGCCGATACCTTCCGGCTAAAACTCTCTCCTCTGTGCTGCCAAAGAGAATCATACAAAATGCATCCGAGATAAATTCGCCGACGGCATCGGCCAGGGTGACGGGAGCATGATCACCAGAGCTTTGAATGGCTTTGATCGATTTCGACATCTCCGGTTCGTAGATCCCCGCAAAACCATCCAGCCTCGTGTTGCTCGTCAAGTGCCTGCTCGTGATTTAATGTCTTTGAAGCCATAGCCAAACTTACTAGCTGGGCGATAAGTAAACTCCAAATCGCGAGTGATAAAGGCCTCCCTGGCTATGGCGATGGAGTTGATGACAATGTAGTCCACCACTCGACCTGTCACGTGGATGATCGGGCCATAGATCTTGCCAAGGCTTGCAAAAAAGCGATGGAGTGGATATCTTAGAGAGAAAATGGATCCAACTATTGGCAGAGAGATTGGACCTGGTGGTAATCTTGTAAGAGTTCTCGCATTGCAAAGCATGAAGTATAGAGCAAGCATAGCACCACAAAACAAAAGCACCATGGTGAAATAAATAAATCTCTCGTGTATGAATGGCGATTTATAAACCCAAAGGTATAAAGTCAAAACACGGATTCTAACGATCCATTGTCAAGCCAGAGCGAGTAATATCTGGGATGGTGTAGAAAATTAATGATCCAGCGGCGATTCCACCGCATGGCGATTTTAATTCTCTCGTCCTGTCCATCAAATCGTACGGCAACTCGAAGAACTTGGGCGAGGAAAGTCCATGCGAGGATAGAACGGAACAGGGACCTGAAAGAAAGCTTGCATCTGTGGAATCTTGTGATCGAGACGTATGGAAAGTGCGGCAGCGTGGAGGAGGCTCGAGCGGTGTTTGATCGGATCAGCGACAGGAACTTGGTGTCGTGGAACATCCTCCTTGCGGCATATGCCCGAAACGGGGATATTGCTCAGGCAAGAAGCGTGTTCCAGATCATGCCCAGAAAGGATCGAGTGTCATGGAATGGATGATCCAGGCCTACGTGAAAAGCGGGCTTTTGGAAATAGCGATGGAAGTGTTTAGAGCGATGCCATCACCGGATATCGTCTCGTGGACAACCGTGGTTGCCGCATTTGCCAAGGCGGGGTATCTGCGTCGAGCGACAGAGCAGTTCGATGCCTCACAAGAATATGATCGCGTGGAACGCTATGATCACGGGTCATGAAAAGGCTGGATTAATGGAAGAGGAAAAGAAGCTCTTCGATTGCATGCCGCTCAAGGATGTGGTTTCGTGGAACGCTATGGTGGCGGGATATGCCGGAAACGGGAAACTTGATCTGGCGAGAGAGGTTTTCGAGAGCATGATCTTGCGAGACTCGGTGTCGTGGACGACGATGATCCGGATTTACGTTGCTGGAGGAGAGATTGGCGAGGCCAGAGCTTTGTTCGAGAGGATGCCGATGGAGACGGCGATTCTCCAAGGCCACACCGAGAATGGAGACTTGGAAGAAGCGAGAGTTTTGTTCGAGAAAATCCAATGCCCCGACGCGACTTGTATAGCACCATGGACATGAAGTATCGCGTGGACGACGATGATGAACGCTTACGCCAGGCATGGTTTCCTTGAAGACGCAAAGACCATCTTCGATCGGATGCCGGACAGGAACTTGGTAACTTGGAACGCGCTCATCACAGCGTACACGGATCACGGTCGCGTGGAGGAGGCCTGGGACAAGATGAAAGAGAGGAACTCCATCTCAAAGCGAAGAGCAGACCGTGCTTTTCTCGTCCTTGATCGAGAAACAAGACTCTTCGCTGCCTCGTTTGCACCATCCTGACGAGGGAATATCATGCTCCAGTCGAGCGTGGAGAGAGGCGAGCTTGTCCAAGCAAAGGCCGCGTTTCATCGGATTCCTCAACCTGACAACTCGATGGTCCAAGCATATGCTCAAGATGGTTACGTGGAACAAGCCAGGGACGTGTTTGAGATGAGGCCGAGGAGGAACGTCGTGTCATTCACGACCTTGATCCAGGCCTACGCAAGAAGAGGCGAGATGGAGGAAGCAAAGAGGCTGTTTGACGGGATACCGCAGCGGGACGTGGTGGCCTGGACGACGACGGTGGTCGGATACGCGTAGGCCGAGATGGTGTAGTGCGATGATCGCAGCCTACGCTCGCCCCGGCATTTGGATGAGAGATGGGATTTTCGTAGAATGATCATTAGAACGCAATTCAAAGACAACGTTGTCTCAGGTATAGACAGACGTTTCGAGCCTTGCCGTTGCGAATGCCACCAAGTTGGACGCCGGCATACACGAGAGAGTTCCCGACGACCTCTCGGACAAATCGATCTCGCCTTCACTCTTCCAATCAAACGCATGGAGCAAGCTTGCAACCACAAAAGGAACCACGCGGGAAGCTATTGGCATGCCCGGACAAGTTCTCCTCCCGGCAGAGAATGGGATCATGAGTTCTTGGTTGGATTTCGCTCGATCGCCCAGGAAACGCTCCAGGCGAAACACCTCGGGCTTCTCCCAGTGCCGTGGGTCGTGCCCGATCGCCCAGATGTTGATGAGAACGGTGCAGTGCTTGGGGATGTCGTAGCCTGCGAGTGTTGCCTTGGATGGATTGTGGTGAGGAACGCCAAGAGCTCCCACTGGATGGACTCGCAACACTTCTTTGAAGATTGCTTCGATGTAAGGTAAGTTGACGAGGTCCGAGTGCTTGACAAGTTGTGACTTCCCTATCGTGTTCTTTACTGCTTCTTGTGCTTTTTCCATCACTCTGGAATTTCTTAGAACTTCGGCCATGGCCCAGACCGCTGTCCACTTGATCGTGTCAACTCCAGCGACAAGTATATCCTGTGCAAAGAGTAAGTTCCAGAGTGAAAAGTGCGTGGTATCACTTACAGTGAGCAGTGCGACGATTGATATGTCTTGTAGGGACTCGAGAGATAATAGCACGTCTGTGAGATCTCTGCTGACGAATTCCTGCCCTTGAGACTCAATCCTCGCCTTGTTTTGCTTGTGAGCGCCGATCACTTGTGTTAGCAATTGTTCCAGCTCTGGCATGAGAGTTTCCTTCATTCTCTTGTTTACTCCGTGGAGATCCAGGAAATCCAGCGCTGGGAACAAGTTTCCAATGTTCACGTTGAGTGTTTGCTTTTCGATTTGGGCTACCAGATCCAAAACTCTCTCCTCTGTGCTGCCAAAGAGAATCATACAAAATGCATCCGAGATAAACTTGCCGATTGCATCGGTCAGGTTGATCGCCAGAGCTATCTCTAGTTCGTCGATCCCCGCAACACCATCCAGCCTCGTGTTGTTCGTCAAGTGCCTGCTCGTGATTTGCTTGAGGTTCTTCCAGGACTCACCATATGGAGCAAGAGCGATGTCTTTGAAGCCATAGCTGAAGTACTCTCCAAAGTTACTAGCTGGGCGATAAGCAAACTCCAAATCGCGAGTGATCAAGGCCTCCCTGGCTATGGTGATGGAGTTGATGACAATGTAGTCCACCACTCCACCTCTCAGGTGGATGATCGGGCCATAGATCTTGCCAAGGCTTGCGAAACAGCGATGGAGTGGATATCTTAGAGAGAAAATGGATCCAAATATTGGCACAGAGATTGGACCTGGTGGTAATCTTGTAAGAGTTCTCGCATTGCAAAGGATGAAGTATAGAGCAAGCATAACACCGCAAAACAAAAGCACCATGGTGGAATAAATCAATCTATGGCGAGGTTTCAAATTCTGTGCTAAAAAGGTGTAAAGTCAAAAACACAATCTAATAAAAATAGATGTGTTTTGAAAATACTAGGTTGTGTTTAAGGTAGCTGATGCATTATATTATTATAAATAATTGAGCAATAGTTGACAATAAAATATTTAAATAATAAACATACAATTCAATCTATTGTCATCTCTATATTTATATCAAATCTTAATATGCATCTTTTATAAGAACTTTTGTCAACAAGTAAGGTGGTCTTGAGGATCCTTCTAAGAATTAAAATATTGGAGAAATTGATAATTTAAATCTATATAGAAGTTGAATTCATACAGATAATATTACTATTCCTTTATGGTATACAATTTTTTATCTCAAATAGACTAATTTTGTTGTGTGGCATCAAATTTTATAGCTACTTTAACTTTTTAATTGCACAACATAGAGTTGATGACTTCCATTCCACCATATAATAATTCTTGGCATGCTTAAATTATCAATGGTAATCACAGATATTAAATTGATTCAAACTTTAAAGGTGCATGTGAAGCAAGAAATCTTTAATGAGATTAATAGAATCCTTAACCTCTTTAATATCACTTTAAACCTTATAAATTTAAATTTTATGCCTTCTTATAACATCATTAAAAGTTTCTTCCTCTTCATCATGGCTTTCATCATTATACTTCATTATAATCTATAACCATCCCTAAAAGAACATGATACACTAAACAAACAATGAGTGAACCTTAGGTTAGCTTAGCCCAAATCATAGAATATTTTTAAAATATTCCCTTAGTGTAGTGTTCAATCAGATTGCTCATGCAAGATGCATGTTCCAGAGCATGCCCAGGAAGGATCAAGTGCCATAGAATGGAATGATCCAGGCCTATGTGAAAAACAGGCATTTGAAAGAGTGTTTGAAGTGTTTAGAGCAATCATCACCAGATATAGTCTCATGGGCAAGGGTGGTAGCTGCATTTGCCAAAGCGGGAGCGATGGAGCTGTTTCATTCGATGCCTTATAAGAATGTGATCACATGGAATGCTATGATCACAGGTTATAAGGTTTGGAAACTGGAAGAGGAAAAGAAGCTCTTCAATCGCATGCCTCTCAAGGATATGGTTTTGCTGCTAGGAACACGAGAGAGATTCAGACTTCTGCCTGAACTCTTCCAATCAAACGCATGGAGCAAGTTTTCAACCACAAAAGGAACCACACGGGAAGCTATCGGCATGCCCGAGTTGGATTTCACTTGATCCCCCAGGAAGCGCTCCGGGCGAAACACCTCTGGCTCGTCCCAGTGCCGTATGAGATGAGAACGATGCAGTGCTTGAACCTGAAGATGTTACCTTGGATAAATTGTGGTGAGGAACGCCAAGAGCTCCCACTGGATGGAGTCACAACACTTATTTGAAGATTGCTTCAATGTAAGGCGAGGTCCGAGTGATTGACAGGTTGTGACTTGACGTTGAGTGTTTGCTTTTCGATTTGGGCTACCAGATCCAAAACTCTCTCCTCTATGCTGCCAAAGAGAATCATACAAAATGCATCCGAGATAAACTTGGTGACTGCATCAGTCAGGTTGACGGGAGCATGATTGCCAGAGCTGTGAATGGCTTTGATCGATTTTGCCATCTCTAGTTCGTAGATCCCCGCAACACCATCCAGCCTCGTGTTGCTCATCAAGTGCCTGTTCGTGATTTGCTTAAGGTTCTTCCAGGACTCACGACATGGAGCAAGAGTCAATGTCTTTGAAGCCATAGCTGGACAATGTAGTCCACCACTCTCCTCTCAGGTGGATGATCGGGAACAGCGATGGAGTGGATATCTTAGAGAGAAAATGGATCCAACAATTAGCGGACCTGGTGGTAATCTTCGAAGAGTTCTCACATTGCAAAGGATGAAGTGTAGAGCAAGCACGGAATAAATCAATCTCTCGTGTATGAATGGCGATTTATAAACCCAAAGGTATGAAGTCAAAAATCTCAATTGAAAATATTGAATTCTATAACGATCCATTGTCAAGCCAGAGCGAGTAATATCTGGGATGGTGTAGATTCAGGGACTCCCGGCGATTCCAGCGCAAGGCGATTTTAATTCTCTAGTCCGGTCCATCAAATCGTACGGCAACTCGAAGAACTTGGGCGAAGCGAGGAAAGTCCATGCGAGGATAGAACGGAACAGGGACCTGAAAGAAAGCTTGCATCTGTGGAATCTTGTGATTGAAATGTATGGAAAGTGCGGCAGCGTGGAGGAGGCTCGAGCGGTGTTCGATCGGATCAGCGACAGGAACTTGGTGTCGTGGAACATCCTCCTTGCGGCATATGCCCGAAACGGGGATATTGCTCAAGCAAGATGCGTGTTTCAGAGCATGCCCAGGAAGGATCGAGTGTCATGGAAAGGAATTATCCAGCCTACGTGAAAAGCGGGCTTTCGGAACGAGCGATGGGAGTGTTTAGAGCGATGCCATAACCGGATATCGTCTCGTGGACAACCGTGGTTGCCGCATTTGGCAAGGCGGGGGTCGAGCGACAGAGCTGTTTGATTCGATGCCTCACAAGAATGTGATCGCGTGGAACGCTATGTTCACGGGTCATGAAAAGGCTGGATTAATGGAAGAGGCAAAGAAGCTCTTCGATTGCATGCCGCTCAAGGATGTGGTTTCGTGGAACGCTATGGTGGCGGGATAGGAAACGGGCAACTTGATCTGGCGAGAGAGGTTTTCGAGAGCATGATCTTGCGAGACTCGGTGTCGCGGACGACGATGATCCGGGCTTACGTTACTGGAGGAGAGATTGCCAAGGCCAGAGCTTTGTTCAAGAGGATGCCGATGGAGAACGTCGTAGGGGCCACACTGAGAATGGAGACTTGGAAGAAGCAAGAGCTTTGTTCGAGAAAATCTAGTGCCCCGACGCGATCGCGTGGACGACGATGATGAACGCTTACGCCAGGCATGGTTTCCTTGAAGACGCAAAGACCATCTTCGATCGGATGCCGGACAGGAACTTGGTAACTTGGAACGCGCTCATCACAGCGTACACGGATCACGGTCGCGTGGAGGAGGCCCGGGGAGCTGTTTGACAGAATGAAAGAGAGGAACTCCATCTCCTGGGATGTGATGCTCCAGTCGAGCGTGGAGAGAGGCGAGCTTGTCCAAGCAAAGACCGCATTTGATCGGATGCCTCAATCGGACACAGTGTCGTGGAACTCGATGGTTCAAGCGTATGCTCAAGATGGTCACGTAGAACAAGCCAGGGACGTGTTTGAGAGAATGCCGAGGAGGAACGTCGTGTCATTCACGACCTTGATCCAGGCCTACGCAAGAAGAGGCGAGATGGAGGAAGCAAAGAGGCTGTTTGACGAGATGCCGCAGCGGGACGTGGTGGCCTGGACGACGATGGTGGTCGGATACGCGCAGGCCGAGATGGTGGAGTGCGATGATCACAGCCTACGCTCGCCCCGGGCATTTGGATGAGAGATGGGATTTTCGTAGAACATCAAGTGATTATGATCATTAGAACGCAATTCAAAGACAACGTTGTCTCAGGCATAGACAGACGTTTCGAGCCTTGCCGATGCGAATGCCACCAAGTCGGACGCCGGCATACACGAGAGAGTTCCCGACGACCTCTCGGACAAATTGATCTCGCCCAATCAAACGCATGGAGCAAGCTTGCAACCACAAAAGGAACCACGTGGGAAGCTATCGGCATGCCAGGAATGGCATCATGAGTTCTTGGTTGGATTTCGCTTGATCGCCCAGGAAACGCTCCCAGCAAAACACCTCGGGCTCGTCCCAGTGCTGTTTGAGATGAGAAGGGTGCAGTGCTTGGGGATGTCGTGGCCTGCGATTGTTACCTTGGATGGATTGTGGTGAGGAACGCAAAGAGCTTCCACTGGATGGAGTCGCAAAACTTATTCGAAGATCGCTTCGATGTAAGGTAAGTTGACGAGGTCCGAGTGCTTGACAGGTTGTGACTTGACGTTGAGTGTTTGGTTTTCGATTTGGGCTACCAGATCCAAAACTCTCTCCTCTGTGCTGCCAAAGAGACTCATACAAAATGCATCCGAGATAAATTTGCCGACTGCATCGGTCAAGGTGACGGCAGCATGATCACCAGAGCTTTGAATGGCTTTGATCGATTTCGCCATCTCCATTTCGTCGATCCCCGCAAAACCATCCAGCCTCGTGTTGCTCATGAAGTGCCTGCTCGTGATTTGATGTCTTTGAAACAGTGCTTCAAAACACGCCGTGCACCACGGCGTGTTGGCGTGGTGACACGAACACTGCCCCCAGCCGTGTTAACATGGGCCATGTTCATTGACTCGGTCAATGCTCCAAAACACGGCTCCAAACACAGTTGAAACACGGTCAAATACAGTGTGACCACGCCGTGTTCTAAAACAATAGCTCACGTGGTTCATGTGAGCGTTTTGCGCTTTGATGTTTTTATGTCTTGCGATCAATCAAAAGGTTTTTCCAGCAATTTATGGCGATTTTCTTGGGCTGGGAATGCCCTCTCTAGGATTCTAGTGCTGGAGTGGGAGGAATGGCGCTTAGCCATGCTTAATTTCGCTGCAAAAAATTCCTGATCATTGTCTCTAGGTTTGTAGATTTTCTCTCCCAAATTTTCTCCTTGGATTGCTTCTGCCATAATTCTTAGCTGCTTGGCACTGCATCTTTGTAGATTGCTATGATTCTTAGTTGCTATCACTTCAAAGAAGAGGAATTGCTTAGCAGTGAGCCGGATTGCAGACTTGGTATTTGTGGCCAGTAATACCAAGTTGATAGGGAGCCACACTTCCTATGACAAGTTTGTGGGATTGAGCTAGACAGGAAGTATTCCTCAAATTACTGATACTGATATTGAAGCTATGGAAGAAGAGGACAAAGACGAAGATGATGATCCTGCTAATGAGGAGTATTCTAGAGAATATTCGTGTTTTCACCCGTGTTTATCCGTGTTCATTTCCGTGTTCCGTGTTCGTGTTCAAAAAATTGAATGCCGTGTTCGTGTTCCTGTTCCTGTTTTGAAGCTATGCTTTGAAACCATAGCCAAACTTACTAGCTGGGCAATAAGCAAACTCCAAATTGTGAGTTATGGCGATGGAGTTGATGATAATGTAGTCCACAACTCTGTCAGGAATCCCCCAATTCTTGCCACATTCCTAACTCTCGCCGGATTCCTGACCTGCAGACCACATTCCTGACTCTCGAGACACTTCCCTATTCCTGACTCTCGAGACACTTCCCGATTCCTGAGTCTCGAGCCACATTCCTGATGATGATGTGGCGCCTCCTCGACCTCAGCTATATTTAGGCCGTCCTCGATCCAAGAGTGGTGGAGCTTCATCAACCTATAGTATATATAGGTTAGCTTTGTTCCATTTCTCCACAATCTGAATCAACGCCAGTTTAAGGCTTCTTCTTTGTTTCCACTAGCTTTTCTCTTTGTCTTTTTGCATTTTCCAGTCTTGATCTTGTCAGGGGTCTTGATAGTTTGATTCAGATTGTGTTTTTTCGTTTTTTGATTTTTGTTTTGATTGTTTGATTACCTTTGCCTTTTTTTCCCCCTTTTTTCTTTCTTCTTGCCAATGGAGTCTCCAAGCCATCCTAATTTCTTTGCTGAAGTCCTTGCAAAAATCCAGTCTGAGAATACCGAGCTGAAGGCGACCCTTCTTTGCATGCAGCAGGAGCTTGCTTCACTTTCGGCTCAAGGATCCAGCAAAGTTCCTGAACCAAAGATGAGCTTCCCGGCGAAATTTTCAGGCAAGCGTTCGGAGCTTCGCGGATTCCTGAACCAGATGGAGTTGATCTTCGCACTTCAACATCGGCGGTACCCTACTCCCGAGTCTCAAATCGGCGCGATTGGGACATTGCTCGAAGGTGCAGCTTTGTCATGGTTTTCTCCTCTTCTGGAGAAGAGCATGAAAGGGGTTGTGGTTCCAGAGCTAATGGATCTTCAATTGTTCAAAGAGAAGCTTGAAGCATGTTTTGGCGAGACGGATCGGGTTCGGGCTGCTACCACAAAGATGAGACGTCTCTCTCAGGGGTCTCGTCCTGCCTCGATCTACGCTGCAGAGTTCCAACTCCTTGCTTTGGACACTCAGTGGGATGAGCGGGCCCTGATTGACCAATTTCGTTTCGGCCTCAACAACGGTGTCAAGGATTTGTTGCTCACCATGGAGGATCCCAAGGACCTATCGGATGCCATCAACAAAGCTATTCAATGTGACAATCGTCTCTTTGAACGTCGTCAGGAAAGTCACCGCGCCGCTGTTTTTCCGTCCCAGACTCAGGAATCCCAGCTTGAGTCTTCAGGGCATACTCCTGAACCTACTGCTTCGGTTCTGATGGATATTTCTGGTACTCCCCGACTCATTAGAGGGAAGTTGAGTCCTGCTGAGAAGCAACGTCGAATATCTCATAATCTTTGCCTCTATTGTGCTGATCCTAATCACAAAGCAGCTGTATGTCCCAAGAAGCCTCCTTGACTGCTCGAGTTCACTCTGCCTCAAAGTCCACCTCTATTGCAGTCGGGAAACGACCCTGTTCAAACAGAGTAAGAGCTGTCTGTTTGGACTCCCCGAATAAAAATCACTTTTCTTCTTTATCAAGCTTCTCACCACCTTTCATCAAAGCCACCACCAATTCCCGCAACTTCCGCGTCCCATGTCTCCTTTCTTTCACCGGACAATCAGGACTCAAGGCTCTGGCGTTACTGGACTCGGGTGCAACTTCCTGCTTCATGGACACGGACTTTGCTGCCCGACATCATGTTCCTCTTTCTCCTACCATATGGGATTTGAGGGTTGAAGGCATCGGCGGGCATTTTGTGTCTCCATCTTCTGGACTTAGGGAAACGTTGCCCGTTCGAGTACACATCGGGTCCACCGTCACCGATATCGCCTTCAACATCATCAACAGCAAGTCCTCCTCTGTGGTGCCTGGTCTTCCTTGGTTCCAACTACATCAGCCTCAGATCTGTTGGAAGGAATTACAGCTCATCTCTCCCACGGCTTCCCCTGCTGTTCATCGAGTCTGAATCAAGAAAAGTTCCCTAAACTCAAATCGGGGTTCTGTTCCTGACTCTATAAAGTTTTCACCCTCTTCTTTTTCTTCTCTTCCATCTTACACTGGACCGTATCCTCGTCTCATCATTCCATTTAGTCGTACGCCTCCTCCTATCTCCACAATCACTATGAAAGAACTCCTTCATGAAGAACCTCTTTTTCTTTTTGCTTTGCATGTTTCTCCTGTCAGTCTTCCTGAGAAGTATCATGATTTTGGGGATGTGTTTGACAAGAAAAAAGCTAGTGTACTGCCTGTTCATCGGCCTTATGATTGTCCCATTGATTTACAGGAAGGAGTTTCACCTCCATGGGGGCCTATCTACGGGTTATCCCCGTCCGAGCTTAAGGCCCTCAAAGAGTACGTGGATGAGAACCTTGCCTCGGGCTACATTCAGCATTCGCAGTCCCCGGTTGGAGCACCTGTCTTCTTTGTCAAGAAGAAGGATGGGAGCTTGCGGCTAGTCATCGACTACCGAGGTTTGAACAAGGTGACTGTTCGGAACAGCTATCCGCTGCCCCTAATCTCGGACCTGTTGGAACGCCTCGGCGGTGCCCGCTTCTTCACCAAGATCGACCTCCGTGGAGCATACAACCTGATCCAGATCCGGCCTGGTGA